AGTTCCTTTTTGTCCTAGAACACTCGTGGAAAGGGGAAGAAAGCATTATTTATTACATATGATTAAAGAAAGAATATGTTTTTGCATTATTCTTGACGAGTTTGAGATACAAATATTAGTATTTTGAAAACGGTTAACTAGAATAATAATAAGATATCTCTTAACTAGAATAATAATAAGATAAATAATAAGAAAACAGTTAGGTACGTATTTTAAAAAAATGTTACGATTAAAATTTTAAATTTTATAGAAAAATTTGTTAATACTAATCGAAATAACACCTTACAATATTAAGATACATATAGGTATAATAAATGACGTAGCTAGTGAGGCTGTAAATAAAGACTAACGAACTGTATAGAGGAGTTCCCTTTGATATCACCATAGTGGCTTACATGAATTTGATTAGCTTGCGTATCAGAGCATTATACATCGATTGTGCTACAAATATGTTTAGTCTGACAATTAAAGTGTGCTTTAACTGAGGTAATAAGAGATTATGGATCTTCGTAGTAGTATTGACATCTCCCGGCGTCGGGACGTGACGACCCCATCGCCCACTGGTGTATTCCGGTGCAATCAGTCACGGGGGGGAGGGCTGGGGGTACAGCCCTGGGAGTAAGACGGTCACGGATCTGGCAGGAGGCCGTCCGTGGCTGTCTTGGGGGGGAGGGGATACTCGGGTCTCTCCGGAGGCCTGAGTTCGCTTGTGGTCGGTCGGTTTCCTCTCTGTCTGCCGTCGGGCGCTTGCGCTCGTCGGTGGGTGGTTGGAGACTGGCCGCGTGGGCTTGGGTGGGAAGGGTAAGGGGTTAACCCTCTCGCGATTAAGCAAGCCCGCCAGGCGGGGGGACACTCCTGGTCACTTGGAGTGAGCCCTCGGGGGGGGGGGAGGTGGCCGTTCGCTGCCCGCCGCCGGATCGTCGCGGATGCATGCTTCGGCGTTTCCCGTGGCGATCCACTTGGCGGCAACGGAGAGTGACCGCTGGTGTTTTAGTGGGTAACATGGGCCCTTCTGGCCGTGAATCCCACATAACCGCCTCTGTCTCCCCTAGACGGAGGGGTAGGTATAAAACCTTTCACCGCGATAACAAAAAAAAAAAAAAAAAAGTATTGACATCTCAGATTTTCTCGAGTATAATATAAAGTGAAATTATAATTATATAATCGCATTTTCATTTGAATTCGTTAAATCAGAAAACGTTTAATTGAAATATATTTTTTATAAATATAACTATATTTGCGTATATATAGGAGTAATAAATTTTCATTTCATAAATGATATTACTTAACATAACTATTGTTTATCTGTAGCCCTGACAAACTGACAAGTGTCAAAAACGCAAACTTTAAGTGACCGGGTTGAAAGGAATACATAATAAATACAATCATCCCGATTAGAGACCCATGTTAAAATTGGGTATAGTATGTTTTATTAAAGTTGCTAACCAATTTACCTTATTCCCTTAAATTTGTTGAAATGTTTTAGATAGTTGAAGAATTAAATTGAGACTATGTGCAATACACATTATAATGAAAAATTAAATAATAACTCTCCTTTTACCCATCGAATGTCCGAAAATAGATTGGACGGGTATAAATTTCTGACTGATTTCATACATAACTCAGTCGAGATAGGCGACATAGATACAGTATACTATTATGGTACATAACGTTCCTATCGGCTATATTAGTAAACGTCATGGGTTGATTTGTCTTACAGTTCACTTTTAGCTTCATATAAATACTATGAAATATAAAACCCGTGATAGCGGAACATATCAATTCTGTAAAATTATTTTTATCGCAAAGATTACTGAATGAATAATTAAAACTAATACTTTCGGGTTACTACGCATTATTTTATTATTTTAAAACTACATCTTGACCTTTCGGTTACTTTGAAGCAACTGTGATCACTGCTTAGACGAGATGACAATGTCTCATAATTTAATAAATGTTGTAAACAGCTGATTAATAAAAGGCCACGAAACGACTCAAATTCAAGTTACTTCAAGTGTCGACCTAAATTGTTAATATGTAGTTTACAAAAATAACAAATTTTCCTAATCCGATATTAATTCTAATAATGTAAGATTGCCCTATCAATGAATTGGGATGAAAAGTGGTGTAAATTACCAGAATGGTTTTAACAATGTAACTACTAATGATTTGATTATCTCCCTATATTCTTCCTTATAATTTTTTATACAGATAATGCGCAATAATTATTATTAAAGCATTTGAGATTTTGAACTACAGCTTGCAAACATGTCTTAAATTAATAGTACACCGCATCATGATTTGAAAAATCCATCTAAAAAAAACACTATTATGCATAAATAAGTTTTTCATATAATTATGTCTTTTAACTGTAGTCTTATCAAATTTAAATAAAATTTCTTTGAGAATTCATTATATTTCTAACATCAGAAAAGTAGATATCTTAAAAATTCATTAAGCCTTTATATAATGTTAATTATATTAGTTCCAAATCCTGTTAATGTTTAATAGACCACCCATTTAACCGGAACTGTTTTCCGGAGAGCAATCCCTAGTAAATTGTCTCCAAATAGAGTGAAGTAGTCATTCAAACTGAGGCCAATTACATTTTGTGAACATCTTACAAGGCAACATCATCAATATTGAATTATCGTTAGTCACAAATAATAATTCTATCGTTCACTTAGAACTCCTGTTTTGCCGATAGAAGAAAACTTTCACTGTTTGTTTATAAAAGGGTGCCATTGTTACAATTCTACGTGACAAGCTGTATCGTAAGTATGCTTTAATTATTTATCGTATGCATGTGAAGGGAAACATTTAAACATACAACTGTAAGTTTCTCACGACCTTTCTTTCCACTCACAGGTAAGTGGTGTGATTTTATAGGTTTCTAAGTTTAATTCTAGGTTTACAAATGGGTACGGAATCCTCTATTAATTAATTTTACTATGGACAATGATGTTATATTTTTGCAAAGATGTCGTGCTCTTTCTGAGGATTGAGATGCTTTACATAAAAGGTAACAAATAGTACATAAATTAATATCTCTCTATTCTACTATGGCCACCATAAAATAAGGTAAATCAACTTAAAATATAGTGAGTTTAAAAGAGCTTCGTAAGACATCTGACATATTCACATGATGGTAAAAAACAAAATTACAACTTCAAAGATTACTCAGATACAATACAGAGGTGGCATAATATGTTAACAATTTCGAAAAGAAGCATTCTACTTATATAACTTTACAAAGATTTATTTTATTTATATAGGATTAATATTAATAATATAAGTTGTTACATGTATAAATTTTGTATCCCACTTATATGTAGGTTAACTCAAAAATCAGAGGTACATAACATGTAAAAAAATTGCATTCGTTATATGTTCAATCTCAATATTAAAAATAGTAAAATGTCGTATATAAACAAACAATAGTGAGCACTAATTTAAGTGAAGCAATTAGTAGAAATAACATCGATTGCCCTCAAATTCTTTGAGACATAAATTTCCTTGTACCTAAAAAGTATTTTCCAATAACTCGATTTCATATTGACAATGTAAAACGGACGAGTATCACCTGTTGTAGGAATATATAATATTTATAACGAATACGAGATATCGTTTGGATTTTCGTGAATTTTATATATACGTACTATATTTACAAAAAGGAAAAATTAGAAATTGTTATCTAATATTATTAATATTTATATATTTTTTATGAGAGATTCATTTTAAACAATATGTATATTGTTAAATGATAATAAACAATATATGACATATTCTTACGGTTATCATCTTTAGAATTTGAATGTAATAAATTTTTATATGCTCTTTGAGCTATGAGATGAAATTTTACTAAATATATTTTGTATTGATAAACGATGGCGCAAGAAACATTTTGACTTATATTATTTGGAACATTCGTTATCGACTCTAATTTTGATATAAACACAATTTATATATTAAAAATTTACTGCTTTATATGAGAAAGCATTAAAAAAGTGTAATTAGCAGCTTGTACTTATATATTTAATGTGAGTTTTCATATAACTAGGTAGCAAACTGTGTGGCAAGAAGGTGTTTTTATCTTAACAAGAATCGATTCGAATCGAATGTTTGTGAAGAAAATGTATAAAGGTATAAATGTGGAAATGTATAAGTGTATAAATGTGTAAATGTATGTATGTATATAAATCTTATATCCCAACTCAAAGATATCTCAAACTAATTGTTCTGATATTGTTTATAAATGTTCAGTTTAGATAACGATGCCTGTTTGAATTTTTAAAGTTATTCTTAAACTTAGGTATAAAAGGGCTTGATAAAAATATATATGAAAAATTTTTAAACAACAGGCTTTTATTTGAATTGCTAAAACTAAAAAATACTTGCCTACTTTACATTTTTTTTATTCACGTATAATATCATTATATAATAAATTAAATTGCGAGAATTACATAACTGATCGTTCTTAATTTGTATCATAATCATTGTATTTAAAATCAATCACATATGTTTTCCACAAGTAAATGTTGGACATTACCTAAGCCTTTGTTAGCGTCTATTCAATTTTCGGTAATGTGTGTCATTCATATAGATGTTATACTTAATATGAGTCATATGAGATCAGATAGAAGGCAGGACATTGTCCCTCTGACGTTGTAAATAATGACATTACAAAGGAAGGCAGTATTAAATCATTGTCTACGTTGTATAATGTTACCTATTCTGTGTTATATATGTCGGAGATACAGATTCGTCACGACCATCGTCAGACATTTTATAAACCTGTAGGCGTATCTTCGGGTGAACGAGTAATAAGAAACTATATCACTTCTTGTAGAGTACTTTAATAATTATCTTCACACTATATTAAATTCACAATGAGTCACTTTTAATACGCAAACGAAACGGGTAACAGTTCCTAGTGTAGAGGACCCGATGTTCACGACCGCTCGATGGCAATTGCTTCCAAGATCGGTGTCCCCGCACAGCTAGACTCTGTTGTAGCACGAAGTCAGCCGCGTGTCCGCGGATGACGTTACCGCGCCGTTGCAGCCCTCTATCGGAACTCGTGCTGCGCTTCGTTTACCATCTATGCTCATGACCGTCTCCGACACGGCCATCCTGCGCTCACGCGTCCACGTGTGATGATTATTCTGTGACATAGAAAACAACAAAGTACATACCGTTCGGTCACTCCTGACCCAAAAAGCTTTCCCTCATACTAGGGCTTGAAGATAAATGAAAATAAACCTTCTATGACAATTTAACTTAATTCTACATCATGTAAACAAACTAAATATAACAATTACTAAAAATGCTAGAGCCACCAAGTGCCAATTTCATAACCAATCATCTTTACACAATTCAACCAATTATCTTTACGCAATCATCTTTACACATTTCAAATCATATCATAGTACACATTGTAAACAAAGCATGAATCATATTCGTGGCCTGTGGCTTTCACAAAGCCCTCCCGACAAACCACATGTTTGTCACATTACGTTCTCACAAACGCCGAGCCCTCCTGGCTCTATGGTCTCTACAAGACCCGACCTCCGCCAGAGCTACCCGCGCACCGCGTATCCACGGACTGCCAAGGCAGATACCGACTTCTAACGGACTACGGCTACGAAATAACTACTGGTACGGTCCGACCAGCCGAACTATGATTCATTACCATCACTCAGCTCAACCTCTTCTAATTCAATTGGTACTTGGCTCTCAGGCATTCGTCTTAATCTGTCATGGGCATACTTATAGGTACGTTTAGAATTTATCGCTTTCAATGTATAGCGATCTCCGTCTAATACCTCAACCACTTTAAATGGTCCCTTATATGTACTTAGGATCAAGTTTCACTTGATTACGCTCTTCATTTTGTAACAACACAAAATCTCCAATAGAAAATTTATCCAGCGTTGCCTTAGTTTTATCAAACCGTTTCTTATCATATTCAGCTGATTTTTCTATTAATACAGCTGCGTTTTCCCTAACTTGTTCAATATCTATGGTTTCATCATTATCATTAGCCATTAAAACCAAGAGGACGCGCGACTTTACCGATAAGTAATTCTAGAGGACTCGCCTTTGTTACGCGATTAACAGTACAGTTCAGAGCGAGCTGTACATCTCCTAACGCATCCTGCCATGACCTATTTTCGCTTGTCTCGACAGCGGTGAGCATAGATTTTAACGTGCTCATTGTACGCTCAACCTGTCCATTAGCTCGTGATGTCCCGGTAGCTATTAAATGGAGCTTAATGTTTTTACTATCACAAAATTCCCTAAACTCATGACTCGCAAAACAACGACCTTGATCAGCGATAATACGTACTGGCGCTCCAAACAACGATACACTTTTTATCACGGCTCGAATACTACTGGCGGTATCAATATGCATTGTATGATGTAAAATAACAAACTTAGTGAACGCATCAATTAGAACAAAACACATACTCCTTATTATCGCGTTTCCCGCTGAGCTTACCAGTCGCATCAATGTGAACCGTATGCCAGGGCACCGTGACTTTAGGAATCGGGTGTAACTCCGCCTGTACCTTACCAGAGTTCGACTTCGCTACCTTACACGTAACACAATTATTCACGAACTTTCGAACATAGCGACACATACCTTCGAACCAGTAATAATCGTAGAGCTTCTCGAGTGTCTTTTCCCAGCCAAGGTGAACGATGGAATCGTGTATGTTGTGTACAACTGACCATCGTATACTTCGAGGTAACACAGGCAAACATTTGGTTCTGCGGTTACGTTGAATTTTCCGATAAAGTAAGCCTGATCTTACCTCATATGTATGTGCGATGTCATCCTTAAGCTCGCAATTATTTAATTGAGTTATGACTTTCTGTATGTCTTGGTCTCGCTGTTGCTCAGCCAGAAGCCAGTTACCAGATACTTCCGTTAAATCAACACGTTTCTGATGCACCTGCCTAATTTCTTCTGTCTGTTGACGGGGTAAATGATTGCGAGAAAAAAAATCAACATGTGCCATACTTTTACCTGATCGGTAGACAACATCGAACTCGAATCCTTGTAGGTAGGCCCACCAACGTTGTACTCTCGGAGTCAGATCTATTTTATCTCTAGATGCCTTTAATGAATTGCAGTCGGTTACCACAACAAACTTTCTTCCATGTAAATAAGAGCGGAAGTGCTTAACACTATTTACTACAGCTAAAGTCTCCAGCTCATATGAGTGGTACCTTGATTCAGCGGGTGACGTGCGTTTGCTGTAATAACCAACTACACATTTCTTACCGTTTATTATCTGCAACAACATAGATCCGTACCCGTCCATACTCGCATCCGTATGTAACTCTGTTGGGTAGCGAGGATCGAAAATAACTAATACCGGTTCCGTTGTTAAAACCGTAATCAACTGTTGTCGTATCTCCTCATGATTCGTTTTCCAAATAAATGGGCATTTACCTGAAGTTAATCTGTGTAAGGGTGCCATTAATCGAGAAAAGTTACGTATGAACTGCCTGAAATATGAAGCAAGTCCAATAAATTGTCTAAGTTGTGTTACCGACTCGGGTGGAGGTAAAGCGCTAAGTGCCTCAATTTTCCTTTTGTTTGGTCGAATTTTACCCGCCTCTACTTCGAAACCTAGGAACTGTACGCACTTTTTCAAAAATGAACACTTTTTGAGGTTAAGTGAGAAGCCAGCTTTAGTTAAAATCTCCAAAACAATATTAAGCCTCTCTAAACCCTCTTCTTCCGTCTCGGCTAATATTAAAATATCATCAACGTAAATCACAACGTAGGTATATGCCAGCTCACCTAAGGCAATCATCAAAGAACGTTGAAATACCGAAATGGCGTTTCGAAGGCCAAATGGCATAGCCAAAAACTCGTATTCTCCGTCAGGGGTTACAAATGCTGTTCGCTCGATTGACCCCTCACTAACAGATATTAAATGGAAGCCGCTCGCGCAGTCCAATTTAGTAAAATAATTAACCCCATTAAGACGCGAAATTTGTTCTGAAATTAACGGTAAGGGGTACCTATCTGGAACTGTATTTTTATTTAGTTCGCGATAATCAATACACATACGTTTCGAACCGTCAGACTTCTCAACTAACAATGCAGGACTCGCGAAAGGTGAATTACTCGGTCGTATAATTTTGGCATCTAATAATTCTTTGACTCGCTCACGCATTATTTTTCGTTCCTCTGGCGAGCAGCGATAAGGCCTCCTTTGTACAGTTTTACTTGGATCAATCAAACGAATTTCAAGCTCATACGTGTTAACGCGAGTAGTCGGAAAACCGGTAGTAAAATATTTCGAAAAATTTTCTAATATATTAACTAGTGATTTTCTATGTTCAGCTGATACGTCAGTATCTACTATCTCAAAATTGTTTATTTTATCGGGACTAATTGTAGTACACACGTTAATTAAATTACATTTTGTCATTGTGAATTCGTTCGCGCTTATGTTAAGAACAAACCCAGAAGATAAAATCTCGCGTCCTATCATAATATCACTACGTAAATAAACGTCCGGCAACACATGGAATAAGATTTCGATTGGATACTCATTAATTTCTACATAACACAAAATTTGTTCAGTACTCGTAACATTTTTGTTACCTATTCCTACTAGTGAGACTACATTACTAAAATGTCTACCATACAATTTTTTCGCAATACTTTCTTTAACTAAGGAGCACTCGGCTCCTGAATCGAAATGAAATTTAAACGTCTCACCGTTATGTCTCAGCGCACCTGATGGGGGCTCAACCGTACATAGGTCGACTCGACGCTCAGCTCTAGGTACGGCCGTTGATGAGGTGGTGGCAACAGGGGCGACGCTACCACAGCGCGAAGCGATGTGGCCAGGCTGTCCGCACTTGAAACAGATGAGGGCTTCCTTCTGGGTCGACTGTTGACTCGGACGAATATGAGTAGTCGTCGGTGTAGAATGCTTCTTTCCCTTGAGGCGACAATCGATTTGCTTATGGCCAGGCTTGCCACACATGTAGCACTTCATCGGCGCCGTCGACATACGAGGTCGCTTCACGTTATCTGAAGTATCATCTGCATGGGGTACTTTATGTTTGAGATAGGAGAATGCCTGTAATTCCTTTTGTAAATTGTGACGTGAATTGATCTCGGTTGTGAAGGCGAGTCGCTGTAATCGCGTATCCGTTTGTGCTAAATGAGCAAGCACTACAGATACCGCGATTTGCTCCATGTTTGCATTTTTCCAGCGATTCATAAGGGATGATATCAATCTACTGGCGTAGGCGGCGTAGCTCTCTCCTTCCTTAGGTCGGCTGGTGTTCAATTGTATGAGGGTTGCCGGAATAGTTTCCGTCGGCACAAACCTCTCGCAAAAAAGCTCCTTGAACTGTGGCCAAGTGATTCCGGCATATGAAACTTGCGACAGCCACGTTGAAGCGGTTCCCTTTAACGCTTTACTGAGCGCGACGATTAGCTGACATCCGTTAAGCGGGGTGTCCGACAAACATAAGTCGGCGGTCGTGCACCACGATTGAGGGTCGGCGTCTTGCTTATCAGGATCAAACTCCGGCAGGGTCACATTGTTCCTGGGTCCCGGCATGTTCAAAGCTTGTATTAGTGAACGCATTTGTTCGTTTTGCATTTCGAACATCAGACGCCATTGTGTACTCTCCAAGTTATCGCCACTTGACTTCTCTTTGACTCGTTTTGATCCCACTTCTGATGTCGGAGATACAGATTCGTCACGACCATCGTCAGACATTTTATAAACCTGTAGGCGTATCTTCGGGTGAACGAGTAATAAGAAACTATATCACTTCTTGTAGAGTACTTTAATAATTATCTTCACACTATATTAAATTCACAATGAGTCACTTTTAATACGCAAACGAAACGGGTAACAGTTCCTAGTGTAGAGGACCCGATGTTCACGACCGCTCGATGGCAATTGCTTCCAAGATCGGTGTCCCCGCACAGCTAGACTCTGTTGTAGCACGAAGTCAGCCGCGTGTCCGCGGATGACGTTACCGCGCCGTTGCAGCCCTCTATCGGAACTCGTGCTGCGCTTCGTTTACCATCTATGCTCATGACCGTCTCCGACATATACAATCTCTATTGCTGAGGTAATATTTTTCTTTATATTCATTAACTATTGAACATTTTTTTGTGACTGTACGATATTTTAACTTATGTTCGTATTAGTATGTTATAAAACATTGTATGTTGTACAATTTTGTATCTTACATAGTCAAACCTATAGCTAACTTATCCAAATGACATAAAAATTACCAAATAAATTATTGTTAGTGATATTCATTTGATGAAAAGTTCTGTAAAATAAATTTGTACAACCATTAAAGCATTCTCAAAAACTGTCATCACAAATTAATCAGCATTATGTAACATAAAATTTCATTAAAACCTACAAGTAAATATTTAAAATATATTTTAAATGTATTCCTTTACACGCAGAATGAGTAAACTTAATTTCATCAGCAACATTGTAAGCTGTTCAATATGTATAGAGTTTTAAAAATAAACATATTGTAATAATCAAACTAGGTTTATCAGTAACGTAATGGACGCGATTGAAATTAAAGTTGTCCTTTAAAAAGGTTTTGTGTCTTTACATCAATGTATACTTATTAACCTTTTTGTAGAGATTTTAATTTTTTTAATTTTAAAAAGGGATTTCATGAGTCTATGAATATTAAAACATTCAATCTGAACGGACGGATTGTTTCGCAATAAAACTTAACTGATTATTTTATTATTTACATTTGGTATCTGTTATTTTTTCACGTATGTACAATGATAAATAACAATGTTATTTTTTCTCTTGGTGTAGTAATTTCCTTCCAAAACCACGTGAATTGAAATTATTTTCAAGTTTAATATGACATATAACTTTGCATTGCAAAACGTCGAGAGATTCTACAAACATAGTGCTGTAAATCCAAATATAATTTATTCAGATTTAACAATAATCATCATTCAATGTTTTCAATTCAAATTCAATTCAATTCAAAATGTCAGTCCATTGACCTTTCCTCATTTATTTTCGGTTTCAGTTAAGTACATTCATACATGTAAATGCCATTTCTCTCTATCAAATGTCATATTTGAATACATTCCTTGTTGTTTAGGTTAAATTAATTTAGGTCGTATGAGCTGACTGTTTTTGTAATGTATATTTTACTGCCAACTAGTAGAAACGAGATTTAAAAAATTATATATCACAATTTGAAGCAAAAAGTGCAAAAAGTTGGACCTCTACCATCACTTTATTTATCAGACTGCTTGATAGGTCTGAGTTATGTCTTAAGAGTACGAGACTCGTAGTAGAGACTCGTACTCGTAGACTTATGTTAGAGTATATAATAATCTTAGTAATCATTAAGTTGGTTTTGAGTGTAACAATAAAAAGTTAAAAAAAAATGTGAAAAACTTTACATTATTCAGATAAAATATGTAATGAAATCTAGATTTTAAGGTAATGTATTGAAAAAATCTGAAACCTGTATAAGTTATTATATTGTTGAATTGGGACTAATGATACAACCATAACGGCCAATAAGATTCTTAAATGATGCAAATTACGAGATCATACTGCGATACATACTCTTAATAATAATGATATAAAAATTATTTATACTTTGAATGGGTATTATTTTAATGTCCTGAGAGGGATTATATTTATATAATTCTGCATTTAGTATATTAAAACTTTTGTAGCTATCAATAAGGTAGCAATGTGTGCTTTACCTGTATAACTATGATTGTATTCACTAATACAAACATATATATTATAGAATTTTATCTGAAGCTTTGAAGTAATTGATTAAATTATAGTATTACGAAAAATAAATTAGTTATTTTAATGTTCTTGCTGATAAATACATATATTTATATAAGTAATATATTTTGAATATATTAAATAGATAATATGCTAAAATTTTCTTTTTTTTGAGTCGTTTCCATTTGGGTTAATGTTATTGTTTTAAAAAACAACGACTGTCACGGTAATATTAGCGGTTTACAGTCTATTACTACGACGACCTCCATAACGATGCGAAAGTGTCTTCTTAAAAGTATTTTCAACTTAATAACCCATTTTTCTCATAACTTGGAGAGAATGGTTCATTTAATTTTTATAATGTTGTGTTGTGTGAAGCAAATTATACGTTACGGCTATTTAAACACCGGGGAATTGTGATAAAAGAATATAAGTTCCAAGGAGATCACAACGCTTCTCAGGTTTACTATAGTAAAGTTCTGATGATCTTTTAATATACAGGGTGACTGGTGAATTACTATCAATATTTAAGGAGGATACTCGGTACATGATTCTCATTCGAATTATGTAAAAAAAATAGGTACTTAATTTTTGACCAAATTTCCGTATAAATAAATAAAGTGTTGACACGTTCCAAGTGTTCCAAGCGTGGACGTGTGCGGCGGCGTGCTGATACAACACTACGCCGCCGCCGCATCTGTGTGAGTGTGTGTGTATACCTAATCTGTAGGGTGTTCATACGATGCGTAATTAATTACATAACTTTTGGTTAACTTTACTTAGAAGTTTATTAATATTTATGTTATATTAATTTTTATTTTGTCATATATGATCGTCACAAATCACGTCCTCAAATATCGATAGTAATTCACCAGTCACCCTGTATAATAAAAAATAGTTACTAATTTAACTACTATATCAGAGAACCAACAGCAATCACAATATTATGGCGAAGAATGTTCACAATGAGAAATAAATGTTTCATCTTAATTTTTCTAAAAGCTGCAACATGTGGTCTGTTATAGTTTTGTACAAAGGTATTTTCCTGTCTTTAAAGTGGCGCCTGCTTTGTTTCACAACTTATTATTTGTTGAATCATCTTATTTTCTTTGCCTTAAGTAGCTTGAACTAGTATACAGTGTAATTCGTTGAATCTTATCTGTCTGATTTATAGGATTGAAAAAACAAATATATGATTTAATTTGAAAATAAAATTTAATCGTGTCCAAAGAATTTTATGGCAGAAATTTGTCATCCTAAAAGATGATAGTATTCTCGAATAATTAATTATGCTCTCTGCAATGAATTCATGTTAAATTAATAAAAATATGTAACTAGAATATTGCCCTATTATAATAAAATTAATTAATGGTTTTAACCATATTCATTTTAGTAATATACGTTCTGATGCTTAATGATGATCCCAAATAATTTAAATTATTACCTCCATAATACATTTATAGGATATTTGTTTTATTTTGCTATTAATATTTAATATAGTTTATGTTAACCGGCGATGAGCAATATTTAAATTATTTTTGAATGCACAAAAATTAAAAAAAATTATTGAACTAATTTGAACTTAAGTTCAATTCAACCTTAATCTATAAATGTCAAGGTCTTGAGATTTAATTGGTAGGCTTTCATAAAGTCGCACTTTAAAGGTTTCCTTTCATAGAAATTCACTAAAGTTAATCGAAGCGAATGAAAAAATATAACATATTATATGTATTATAAAAGGAAGAGCTGTATCATCACTTCTAACCATTTTATTTTCTTCAAAATGCAAGTTTATGATGTGGCAGAAACAAAGCAATACCGTGCAAATTAATATAATGTTTTTGTTTTGTTACAAAGAATAAGCATTTGATATTCATGAGAATTCCGGGATCGTTGGGATTAACAAGGAAAATGTATCCAATTTAACTTTACAAACTTTATATGACAACTACTTGTTATTCTTTTGCAGTGACTTTGAGTAAATTTAAAATTAAACTGTTCTATTATCAGAGCTTCGAATAAAGAAAATGTAGTATAATATGTAGTAGTTTACTGAAAAATATGACAATGTTATAAGATTCATGCTAGAAGATTTTTAATAACAAATGAATTCCAGTGAGAGATTTTGGTAACAAATTTATTTATTTTAATAATATTAGAAAACATTACAATGGCGATCTTTATTTTTCTTAACAAGTAAGGCATGATAAAGTAAAAAAGTTTTCAATTAAATAATAATATTTTATTATGTTCTATATTAACAATCCTAAATGAAAATAAAACATATTCGTTAGAATATTCAATATTGTCGTTTGATAATAAAATTAAAATAAGTGTAAAGTCAAGGTGTGTCACCTGTTGAGATCGAACTAAAAGACAGGTAAGGTTATTCGTTTTAATAAAAAGTATTATGATAGTTTTAATTAGTTAGCAGGTTGTGTACACACAAATAAGTTATTTTGTTTGCTTTGTTTGTTGTTTTCGAATGATAATAGTAAGAATGTTTGAATCTCCACTGGATATTCCTATTTAAATAACTTATAAAGTTGTGTTGAACGGATCGTAATCGTTTTAAGATACTTTCGTGGTTCAGAGATAGGTGAGAGATTCATAAACTATATAGATGTTCGTTCTGATCGGACCGCTGTAACATTATGCGCGATTATTATCACCACGAAAATTATCAGGTTTTCATTTTATATTCAGTACTTATAGCTTTCTATTCATGATTTCCTTATCAGCCTACTAGGTATCAGAATTTGACCAGTAACGTAAATAGAGCATATATTATAATATATAATCCCAGCTCTCATACAGTCCCGTACACAAGTAAGACTTTGAGTGGTTTCAGGGAATGCTTGTGGATCAATATATTAGGTACTTATTGGTTGAGTGAATCGCCAGTTAATATGTCTACGGCTTGCTTTCGAACAAGTGGTTTAGGGAGCTACTAGTAAACTTACATT